TCCAGAGTAATATATTATATGGTCATCTGACTCAAAATGCCCCATGCCAGTCCATCTCATCTCTCCAATGCCTAATATGTCAATATTTATGCATTCCATTTCTTTCTTAACAATTTCTAATTTTCTCAGTATACTATTTTGAAATCTGTTAACTAACTCTGATAGTCACTTGAATGCAGAGTTTAAAAACACAGAGATGTTATGCTAGATATTCCTGGTTCCTGTGCAGTCAGCTCTGATAGGATGCCAAAGCTTTGCAGGTAGTAGTTTCCCAGAGGTTACTGTATGGAATCAGAGACCACATCCATGAGCTTTTACATTCAAATCCATTGGCCTGTCTTGTTCTTTAAATGGGTTGTGTGCCCTGGAATGATTTTGTAATATCACGCATTGATGACAACATTATATCACAAACGATTCCATTTTTAATCTCAACACTGTCTCATGATAAGTCTTTAAGTTTGGGAAAACTGACGTGTTTGTAGTGACAAATACAAGTTTTTGTTTTAATTTTTACTTGAAACCCTGAATTTTTGTCACTAGCAACAAATAGTACCAATGTGTTTACCATGAAGTGACAAGCTTGCTTTTTTCGTTTTCAAGAAAATGTCTGCCAAATTCCTATGTCTGAATTCCATAGTCTCAGTGTTTTTCCAAGTAAAGGTGGTGTCCCACGAAGAACGTAGAATGAGCTATATGTACTTGCATTCAGTCTCACGAAAAACACCTATGCCCGTGAGTCTAGATTTAATGTAGTTAATAATTATGCTGTCTCATCAAGTATATTCTCAAATGCGCGTAGCTTTCCCCACACACCCACCTTGAGAGCATGCTGGTACTCAGCGCCTGCTGCAACAGTTTGGTGCTTTTAGTGCAGGAAGGTCAGCAGTTGTACCTACCACTGCTTTTGCAGCCACCAGCACAGATGTCAGCACAGTGGAAAAGGGAAATAGTATTTTCACCAGAATTTCAAACTGACTCAAACCAGATCAGTCATGGCTCACAAAATAAATTTGGAAAGACCTGGATTTGTAAAATATAGGTATGCCAGGATGATAACTGAAACGGGAATAATCATGGGATGAGAGAGCCTCATAGGGAAACAGGATTATTGCCAGGATTGTAGAGAATGACACCATTCAGAAGGCACCATGCTTTCCGACTCTCTCTGTCAAGAGATTTGGTTGTTAGGTTGTCCTTGTTTTCTAAGAATTACATTTCTAGCTCGGAGTCAATCCATAATTTTTCCCATAGTAGTTGTCATTCTAGTAGGAGTACATTTTAGAAACTTAAGTCTGTTTCAGTGTTGTTTTGCTGGTAATAACGGAACTGGGTAGAACTGAGTCAAAGCCTTAGGTTTTGTTTGTTTCTTTCTTTAATTTTTTTTTTTATTTTAATGAAAGTTTACAGAGACTTTGGATTTCCATCCATACATTGTTGCACACATTAAAGCCTTAGTTTTAATAATATTATGAAAATAATTGTGGTCTCACGTACCCCTGAAATGATCTTGAGTATCTCCAGTCCTCTTTCCCAAGTGCCCACAGCCCATACTTTTGAGAGCTGCTAATAGACCCTTACACAGGGACAACTTGATGGCCAGTATATAATTGTCCATCTGCTCTCTTTAAGAGCCTCAGTGTCCCGCTATGTGGGTGTGACACCATTTGTTTTTAATAAGTCTCTTATTTGTAGACATCAGAATTGTTTCTTAAAAACTGTTCTGTTGTGGATGTGCATTTGGCCCTGTTTTTGTTTTCAGTAATTTGTTCTTCTTTTTAGAAAAGTGCACAGCAAAATAGGCAGCAGGTCATCAGAGGCTCCATATTCAGTTCAGTGACACTGATCACATTCTTCAAATCGTGCCAACAGTCCACCGTCCTTTACCAAATTGTACCTCCCCATTACCATAAGCTCACTGCCCCCTGAGCTTCCTGTCTGACCCTCCAGGCTGTTGTTGTCATTTCAGGCCTGTGTAGATAGTTCTTTCGAAGACTATAATACTCAAGGCAGATGGGAATCACATTTTTGAGTCATCTGTACTGATCACCAAGCTGCCTTCCAGATGGACTGTACCCACTTGCCTGCTCCCCAAATGTGCCTGTGAGCTCACGGGTGTGTCTTTTGCAGATGGAGCATGACGCCGCCCATGGTCAATGCTTACTACTCTCCCACCAAGAATGAGATCGTGTTTCCAGCCGGGATCTTGCAGGCACCCTTCTACACCCGTACCTCACCCAAGTAGGTTACCTCTGGTGCTCGCCCACTCCTCAGCCCACCCTTTGGAGGACCCTAAGCCCACCCTCTGGCCCCCAGCTGACTCAGGACCAAGTTGAATGATCCATCCTGTCCCACTGACAAAGAAAGAGTATTTTAGAGAAAGTGCAATAGAATTAACATCCTCACTCCTTTCCTTTCCCTCCAAGGGGCTCTTGAATCCAGGAGTCCCTGTACAGGAAGGTCTTAGTGGCTCTCATGGATTTAGGAACCCTATACAGGGAGAACCTCATCTAATAATGTTTAAAGCATTCTTGGCTGGAGCAAGGGGAAAGATGAGAAAACCAGACCTGCTATTTGCTGGCGGTGTGACCCTTGGGCAAAGTGACTGAAATGCTCCAAGTCTCGTTGCCTCATTTACAGTGTTAGTTAATAATGTCCGACTCTTTGGAGGTGGCTGACGAGGACAGTATAGTTCTGTAGGACATCTAGCACAGTGCTTGGCACCCACTGGCTGACCACAGCCAACTCCACCCCTTGGGCCTGGCTGGAGGCCCAGGTAGGTCATGTCCTCACAGAGCTCAGTGGCTCCCAGTGGTGAGTGTCTTTAGGCTTGGCAAATGAGGGTCACATACCTGGCAAGAGCCAGAGCCCCCTCCCTCACACCATCCATCTCCTGACCATCTTGTCCTTTCCCTCCAGGGCATTGAACTTTGGTGGCATCGGTGTTGTCGTGGGCCATGAGCTGACTCATGCTTTTGACGATCAAGGTACAAGCTCTTTAGTTCCCTTCAGACAGGCCCCAGCCCAGCCCACTGACTTTGCTTCCTGCTCCCTCACTCTAAGGCTTTGCTTTGAAGACAGTTGGACCTGGATTTTAATCCTAGCTCTTCGTCTGTTAGTTGTATGAGCTTTAGTAATTTCTACTATTTCTCCAAGCGTCCATCTCCTAGTCTGTGAAATGGGAATGCTGAGGGCTTCTAAGAGCTGGCTGAGATATCTGGGGAGCGTCCAGCTCCTGGGGTATTTGGTACATGGTGGTAGGTACTAGCCATCAGAGGGAGACACGCAGCTCACCGCTCCACATTCTTCCCTTGTCGCTCTACAGTCTGTCCAGCTAAAGCCACTCCCCCCTAAGTAGCTAAGGCCCAGAACCTTCCCCCATTGCCTTCTGCCTAGGAGAGCCCTCAGAGCAAAGAAAGAAGAATTTGAGGTTTTGCAATCCAAAGACCTTCTTGTGACGCCAGGGCCACCAGCTGCAGTGACCACTTCCTGAACACCCGTGTCACAGGGTCAGGGGCTTGGGTTGGTTCATGTTGAAAGTGCTGGCCCTTTGCCGGATTCCCTGTGTCCTCTTCCCTTGCACCCACCATTGGCTAATTCAGCCACATCAGGGGTCTGCACCACGTGGCAGATGGGTAGGTAGGTGGTGAAGTCACTTCTCACTGACGGTCGAAAGACAGGATCGAGAGCAGTGGGCCCTGCCCAGCCGTCCTTTCTCTGACTTGACGCTTCCTGTGGCCCCCAGGACGAGAGTACGACAAGGACGGGAACCTCCGGCCGTGGTGGAAGAACTCGTCGGTGGAGGCATTCAAGCAGCAGACTGAGTGCATGGTGGAGCAGTACAGCAACTACAGCGTGAATGGGGAGCCAGTGAATGGCCGCCACACCCTCGGCGAGAACATCGCCGATAACGGGGGCCTCAAGGCAGCTTACCGGGTGAGAACCCCATATACGCACACCCCAGCCCCACGTCCGCGTCCTTCTAGACACCTCACCAGCATTGCAGAGCTACAGCAGCCATGTAAGCCTCCATTTCCTCATCTGTGAAATGGGCAGTGATGAAGACTGAAGGAGGCAGGATCTGTGACAGCACCGAACCCAGAGTGTGGCACTCGGAGACTTTGAAGTTTTTAGTCTAATCTAGTCTGAGACACACCAGAGGGCTTGGGCTGGATCTGCCGGAAGACCTTGCGTGCTCATATCATCACAGAGCCCTCGACTGAGCCGGTTAGCAATGGCCCCAAGAAGCTACTGTGGTCTGAGGGGCAGAGGATCGGGTGTGGAGCCCATCCTGGCTGGGCTGAGGCTCTCTGTCTAACACCTGCATCTTGATTGTTAAGAGGATGAAGCAAGATAGCATGGCCTCACTTGATTCCAGAGGGGCACTTAGAAAGGTTAGCAGGTTAGAACAGAGAGAGAGAAGAGCAGGGGGTGTCTTCTCAGGAAAGCAGTCTAGAGTCCCCCACCAGAACAATAAGAACAGCAACATGAGGTCACATGCCAAAATCCTGTGCTCCAGATTCCCCAACAACTTCACAAGGAGATCCTATAACCCCATTTTGCAGGTGAAGAAACTGAGTCCAGAAACAGTAACTTATCTAAAGTTCATTGACATTGTTTTTGTTATGCTCAATTGAGTTGATTCTAACCCCTATATCCACCCGATACACAATAGAGCAGAGCACTGTCCAATCCTGTGCCGTCCTCACAACTGTTGCTGTGTTTGAGCACATTGTAGCTGCTGTGTCCGTCTGTCTCATTGAGGATCTTCCTCTTTTCTACTGAAAAGAGTATGTATTATACAAGTTGTATGTCTATCATAATACTTTCATGCTCGTATCACCACAGAATATGATATCAAGTATTATGTCCATCTCCAAGGACTGGCCCGACCTGTGTGCATGCGCACTTTCATCTGAGGAGCACTCTGGCAGGCACTGGCAATGCTATGTCCAGACAGACTAGGATCCTCTTACCATAACACTTACACTTATAGTTGGGAGTGGGGCCTAACAAATAAATAAGTTGATACTGATATTGAAAAGATGAAAAATATAAAGTAGGGTAAAATATTAAGAATAATAGAGAGAAGTCATAATAGGTTTTATTGTTGTTGTTGATTGCCTTCAAGTTGAGCATGACTCATAGCAACCCTGTGAACAAAAGGCCTGAAGCCTTTCTTTTTCCCCCCTTTTTTTTTAAGCCTTTCTGTAACTGTCAGCATTTATCAAAGTTCATAGAGTTTCCCAAATACAAGAGCTGTGAGCTGGGCATATGCTCAAGGACAAGGGAGCAGGGTGGAGCAGGGGTGGGAGTTGAGCGCAGGCAAGGCCAGTGAACGAGGGGAGGGTGGAAAGTTGGGGGGCAACCAGGTCAGGCTGGGCCTCTGTCACCTCAGTAGGAAGCCGTTTTATGCTAGACACTGTCGGAAGCTGCTGTGAGGGTTTTTGTTTGGTTTTGCTTTTAAATAGAAGAATGACATAATTTAATTTATCTTTTAAAACAAGTTTCACTAGCCTACAGTCCTTGGACCCAGTCCAGCCTGCTTTTGTAACAGCCTCACGTTCACACATTGTCGCTGGCTTTTGCCACGTGGCCACGCCCATGTGTTTACATGCTGGCTGGCTGGTGCTGCAGGAGTGGAGCTACCTGATTGCGACAGAGACCCACAAAGTATGGCTGACAAAGCTGAAAGCATTTACTCTGTGAACCTCAACACAAGCAGTTTGCTGATTCCTGCTGTATGAAGATAGCCTGAGTTACTATGTAGGGAGGGATAGGAATGGGACCCATCCGAGTTTGAGAGTCTGGTGAGAAAGCTGTTGAGGTTGTCCAGACAAGAGAACCGGAAGGGGGGGGGGGGTTGCGTGGTCAGATTGGAGATATTTGCATTGATTAAAAGAGAATTCTGGAGTTTTGGCCTGAGTAGCAGAATAGATGGTGACAGCATTTTTTCTGATGGGGAAAGTGTGTGTATGTGTTGTGTGCATAAGTGTTTGAGACAGAGGGTGTGGAGGGGTGTGTGTGAGTGTTCTGGTGCCCTTGTCTGTCTGAACCATGTTAGTTTAGCTACCTTTTGGACATTTGAGTGGAGTATAAAGTCAGGAAAGAAGTCAGAGTTGATGATGTAAATTTGAGAACCATCTCATGCAGATGGTACATGAAGCCGTGAGGTTGAATGCTGTCTTCCTTGGAATGGGAGTGGATCATGAAGAGGACTGAGTGGGCCATCAGAACTGAGACCCCGACTCGGGCAGTGTGGAGCAGCCCGAGACCTCCCGCTCTTGCCCCGCTATCCTGACCCCGCAGAGATGCTGAGCTTGGGTTTTTCTCTCCTCCCAGGCTTACCAGAACTGGGTAAAGAAGAATGGGGCTGAGCAGACCCTGCCCACTCTTGAGCTCACCAATAACCAGCTCTTCTTCCTGGGGTTTGCACAGGTAAGTTAATGGAGGGAAGAAAATGTTAAACTTTAGTAAATCCCACCATCTTCAGGGTCTGGGACCTCCAAGAGCCAAAAGGCAAGAATCTCCTTAAATTTTGACTCAGTTTACTATCTACAAGACATCTTCTCTACAAGGAAGTAACTTCCTGCCATTAGAGAGATTCCAGGAAGGGCCTGCTCTCTTTAAAGGACTCCTGCATTCAATAGATGATGAGAAAACAAGGTGCTTGCTAAAGTTTCTTCTGATTCTGGGGTTCCAGAAATCCTTAAACTCAAGATGCCACAGGTTGTCCCTTGGGCTGAGCATTCCTCAGAACTGTCAGCCAATAGATAGTTTTGTTCTACCCATGGGATCACGCCAAGGTTTTCATGCTGGGTTAACTTAATCAGCTTGTCAGAAATGGGTTTGGGTTTAAGATGAGCTAAGGTGCTGCTTTGCCGAAGGAACAGTTGGAAAGAACTGTGTTAGAAGACTTTGAGATTAGGGGTGGGGTACCACCTAGGCCCTCTGTCTCTTCTTCAGCCATGTGGCAGGCCCTCCCCTACTCCCTGGGATCTCAGAACCAGGAGGGGAGGATGCTCTTCCCCTGCTCATGGAAGGGGGCAGTCTAGTGGTCTAAGTGGCCTGCAGTGACCCTGGCCTCTCCCTGTTGCTTCTCACCAAGGTTTGGTGCTCTGTCCGTACGCCCGAGAGCTCCCATGAAGGCCTCATCACGGATCCCCACAGCCCTTCCCGATTCCGGGTCATCGGCTCCCTCTCCAACTCCAAGGAGTTCTCGGAACACTTCCACTGCCCACCTGGCTCACCCATGAACCCGCACCACAAATGTGAAGTCTGGTAGGAGCGCCACGCAGAGAGCAAGGAGGAGGAGGGCATGAGGCTGAGGAGGAGCCGAGGGTGGAGGCAGCACGTCACAGGTCTGCCCTCTCCAGCGTGGCCCAGGGCACCACCAGGCCCCCGGGGTGCCCCTTCCCTGTGCAGGAGGGTTTTCAGCCAGAACCACGCCTGCAGTGTGGTTCTCAGCCTAATCTGCGATTCGACCCCCGTGAAAGCCCTGTCACCCCAGGCACACCTGCATCAGCTCCAGTGGCATCAGGCCCGTTGTCCCCCGGGCCTGAGCCCCAAGCCAACAAGAGCCGAGGGACATAGCCACCCCCAACTCATATCCAGCACCCGATAAACGACGAGCACCACTGTGTCAAAATGCTTTAAAGATATATTTTTGGGGAAACTATTTTTTAATCATTATGGAATACACTGGAAATCTTCAGGGAGAAAAAAAAGCATTTAAAACACTTTTTTTAAAAGAAAAGGATTGGTATAATTTATTATGTTCTGTTTTTCTAACTAGCCTGTGGACAAGAGAAGCGCCTTTGATTTCCCTCACCCTTCCCCACGCACTGGGGGGGCTGGCTGAGGCTCGGTCTTCAGGTCCCTGGGAGGTCCCCAGAGCAGAGAGCTGTCTTACCCTCTGAGTTTGCCATTTCTGCTGCAGTCACCTGAGGCAGGGCAGAGAGGAGGCCAGTCTCATTGGCACTGCCTTTCAGCTGCCTGCCTGTGTCCGCAGAGTCCACCAGTGGGCACCTCAGCAGAGAAGGTGTGAGCCCTGAAGTGGCAGCATGGATGGCTGAGCTCGGGGTCCCTCAGACCTGGGCTCCTGGAGCCGTGAGGCTGAGTCCTCATCCTAGAAGCACTGCTGGACAGTAGGTGTAGTCTTTCATTTCCCTTCTTGAAGCTACCCCGTGTCTAACCCACAGGCCACAGCCTGTCCTTAGCAGTCCTCCTATCCCCACCACTTCGGATCTGCCTTGCCAGAGGAAGGAGAAAGAAAAAGGTCCTCGTCCCCCATAGGACCCAAGTCTTCCCTTGGAGCGCCATCCCTGCCAACTGGCCTGGGGCCTGGCTTCCAGGACTGTAGCCTTCCCTACCCTACATCTGTTCTTAGTGCCTTATCTGAGGCTGCAGTCCCTGGGCCTTCTCTACCAGGAAACCCCCACCTAGCCCTTGAAGTCCCTGAGCCCTGTAAGTGAAACCCCCAAGTGTCCTGAGGAACACAAGGCCATGCACTGCACTTCTCATGCCTGCAGAGTCCACCCCCTCATACCTGTCTGTCAGGAAGCTCCAACCTGCACAGCAACAGCCGTGGGGGTCAGGAGTCAGGGGGTGCTAAGCTTGCCCTGGGCTTGAACATCTCACTAGGCACTTGTGGTTGGACAGACTTTCCTGTGGGGGATACTTTCAGCTCTGAGAGGCTGTGAGGGACAGGCTTCTCCGTCCTGAGCTAGCCTGGGGGTCGGGATCAGGAATGTCTTTCCTCCCTGAGGCCACAGCCTCCCACATACAACAGGCTCTGGGGCTCCCCCAGCTGGAGCGATGGGGGCCACCACCCTGTCCTGAGGCAAGTGACTGCCTGAACTTTCCCATCTCCCAGAAGCCCAGAGCAGCCACACTCCTGCACCCTCAAGGTGCATGCCTCACCAGGAAGCAGCATCCTGCTTCACTGCAGGGGAGCAGAGAACTCACTGCCTCTCCCACCTGCCTCAGCTCTCAGCTTCTGCAGAGGTCCCAGCCCCATTCCCAGGTGGCAGCTGGAGGGGCTTCTCGAAGAGCTGGAGCTGGGGTCTGCTGTGCACACACAGAAGGAGGCCTTTCCCAGCCTGCTCCTTCTCTGCTTTCCCTAATCCTCAGGACCATCACACTTTCTAACCACAGACAAGCATCCTAGGTGTGGGGTCCCAGCAGCATTGTTCAGGATATGCAGGAGAGAGGGGAGAAGAGGGCTCAGCCCTGGCAGGGATGGGCACAAAGGCAGCTCCCCCACCTCCTGGTACCGTTGACCCCTACTGAGCTTGGAGAAAGGCTGAGGTGAGCTGGGCAGTGCCCTCAGACACCCCTCCCCTTGGGCCCAAGGAGCCAAAGGGCGGGCACTCTGTAGGTATTGGATGTGGAAATTGGAGCTGGGAATCTATTTTTTGTATTATGTATGTTTTGTGCTACTGTAGTTTTGGTGTGGCACTATTGTAATTGAAATAAAGTACTTGTACCTAGGACCACGTGTCTGTGTGTGTCCTCTCGACACTGCCTACTCTGACCCCACCAAGGGCTGAGAGCACCTTGTTCGCATTGACGAAGCCTCCAGCCTGAGGACAGGTGACTCAGTCCACACACAGGTAACTCAGTGACTAGGGACCATGACCACCAGGCAGTCTTCTTTCACTGATATGTACACACCCCCTGCTGGTAAGAAAGATGCATGGCAGCAACAAGGCCTCTTGGTAAAAATGGTTTGTCCATTATCTTGGAGCAATGGATTGGATTTCCAGGCCCCCGATCTTGGATGAAGTAGGAGTAGGGAAGTGCAGAATCGTTCAAGGAAGAGCTTCACATGCACTCATGTCTCCTTCCTGGATTTTGCACTTGCTCTTCTCTCTACCAGTGGCTTAGTGGTTGGGAGTTGCAATGCCAACCCAAAGGAACACAGTTTGAATCCACCAGCTGTCCCACAAAAGAAAAATGAGCAGTCTTTTCCTGTGAGATTTACAGCCTCTGAAAACCTGCTGATGGGTCAGATATGAGTCAGTTCCAACTCAACGGTACATAACGACAACTTCTCTCTGCCTGGCATGCTCATTCGGACTTCTCTCCCTGATGAAGTCCTGCACATCCTTCAATGCCCAGCTCAACATCACCTTCTCCTGACCTCCTGGTCTTTCATGGTACTCGCCCCTCTGTATTTTGTCTTTCCCAACTAGACGGAGCACTGCTGGGTTTTTTGTTTGTTTGTTTGTTTATTATTTTATTAGTTTCCATGAACATTCACAGGGATTCTGGGCTTTCACTCCTTCATTGCCGCACCATTCTCTTCACCCTCCTCCCCAGTTTGTTCTTCTTCCCCGCCATCCGAATGTCTGTTTTAATTGTCCAATTGCCACAGTGCTTGTCAAAGTCAGTTCTGGTTAATCTCCTTTGTCGGTGTGTCCTTTGCCATTCCCTATCACTCCTCCCTGAGAGAGACTTCACCCTGATTCATAAGGAAAAGGGGATGGCGTATTCTCTTAGCTACTTCCTGCTGAAAAGGGACGCTGTGGGTTTCAGGGTGAAGATCTTCTCTCACTACTCTAAAGGGCCCCTTTGGCAGTAGGAAACACATAGACTATTACGGAGATTGATTTTGGAATTTAGATGCACTCTTATTGATTGTGTTTGGCCGTACATGTTCATATCCTTGAAGATGTATCATGGGGGTGTTGCAACCTAGAAGACACAAATTTGCACTGCTGGGTTTTATTCCTTCCAGTGCCCACAGTGCCGAGCTCAGGGTCCAGCATGGAGCAGAATCAGCTATTGAATGGTGGGTGCCCACACAGCTACAGACTTCCTTACCTCTGTACCTTTGCGCCTATGTTTTTCCATCCCTGCCACACCCATCCTCTTGCCTATTCCCCAGGCTCTCAGCCTAAACACCACCATCCCCATAAAGCTGCCTCTGCTTCCTCCATCTAAGAGTGCCTGTCTTCACTGTTCACATGCCCACTGGCTTTTCTTGGCCCTCTTCTGTAACGTGGTTATTCATGTTTGCATTTTATACCTCTGCTACCAGAGTTCCGTCCTCCAGGTTAGGGCACTACTTGCAGCGTAATACCTGCAATAGGACCAGGCACATAGAAGCAGTCGGTGATTATCGGCTAAGTGGATGGATGGGGCAGATGAATAGTATGTGATCAAGGGGGGTGTTGCCTTGCACCTGTGCTACAGGACAGTGGTGGTCTGGGTGACCAGAGAATACATCCTGGCGGGGGCACACTTCCATGGGACCCTTGATTCAGGCATAAGATTGGGATTGGGATTCATAGTAAGCAAGAAACTTAACAAGGAGTTAGAAGGGTTGGAAGAGCTAACAGGTTGGAGCCATCAATTGTGTACTCAGCATCTGAGTGCTTATCAACTGCACCACCACAGGGGAGGCCTAATGGACTTCTTTCCTGAGAAAAAATATTTTATGCATTGCTGTATTTCTACTTAAAAAAAAAGTATATTCTGTGACACCTAAAAAAAAGATGAGTCTTTTCATATGTTTTTTTTAAAAAAAAAAAAAAGAGAATAAGCCGTTTATCTTTTCTTGGCCTTAGTATCTGTTGCCAAAAAAATGCCATTGTTAAGTGCTGCCTAATTGACTATGACTCATAGCTCCCCTAATAACAGATTAAAACTTACTGTATCCCGCATACCTTCACAGTCTCCACCTTGCTTGAGACCATTGTGACCGTCACCGTGTCAATCCACCTCATGTGGGAGGTGGTCTTCCTCTCTTTCGTTGACCCATGACTTTTCCCTGAATGTCCCCTGAGACCTCCTGACAACATACTCAGTAGACAAGATGAACCTCCCATTATCTTTGCTTCTTAAGAGCACCCTGGTTGCACCTCCTCCCAGACAGATTTGTTTCTTCTTTTAGGAGTCCATGATATGTTCAGTATTTGCCAGCATCACAATTCAAAAGTATCAGTTCTTCTTCAGTGTTCTTTACTGATTGTCTGGCTCTGGAAATACCATGACTAGGCTCTGGTCGCCGAGTGCGTAAGGAGTGGCACTGCCAACCCAAAGGGAGGTGATTTGAATATACCAGCCATTCCAGAGAGAAAGGTGGGCAAGCCTGTGCAATTTACAGCCTGTGCAAACCCACTGGAGGGTCAGCTGTAAGTCAGTTCCAGTCCAACAGTACATAACATCAATACCAGTCAGAGTCAGAAGCACCTTAGTCTTTAAACTGCCATAAGATACTTTCCCACCTTTCTTTTGTAACTCATGAGGGTTGTTGGGGAGATAGTGAGGATACTTGAGACACGTATGAGCTCTGAGCTGCAGAAACATTAGTGCATGTAATGCCTTCG